CGCATTCATTATGAGTTAAACAATTCACTTTTTCTGCATCATGTTCTCGAAGAAAAAACCGGGTAAAACATTTTGCAATAACTAAGAAACACCTTAATTCTCATTTCAAAAAGTCGTATAAAAGATGATTTCTCCGAGACTTTTGTGCTCGATTTTATCTTCCATACTTTTAGCTAGTTATTCTTCATAGTCAAGGATGTATACGTGTTCAGTATACTTTATTTTAAAGTGCAAGTCGAGGCATACTAATCCCAGTACGAGACACACTTCTTGTACTACATCGTGGACTAGTTAGTTCAAGTCTAGAAATGAAGACAATCTTGAGCTGCATGGTATGAAAAGACAATAGAACGTAGTTAAGTAGTTTCTCCACAAGAACTTCTTGTTTTCTTGTCAAGAAATTAAGATTTCTCCACCAGAACTTCATGCTCTCCCGTCAAGAAACTGATGTTTCTCCAAAGGAACCTCAGGAAACTCTATCAATTTACAACTACGAAGTAAAAAGGAAGAAATAAAAAATTAATAAATATTATCAACTTTGTACACAATAAACGGTATATAAAAAAACGCAAGCAATGAATTCCACGTTATCCTTACGTATAAATCTGTTTAAAGCAAAAAAACAATTGTTATTCAAGCAAGCAAATATTTACGAACAGATAAGATTTATGAAGAAATGCAAACGGAGCAGCCTAATACCAAAAGGATTTAGATTAAAATCAACAAGATTTACGAATAATCAATGTAAAGATATATTCAAAATTAATAAAAAATTAATAGAGAATAATTCTTTTTCGATGGTATAACTTTAAAGTGTTTGTGATTAATTTTAGATTTTGGTTGTTCTAATCTTTGTTTTTGTTTGATAACACTTGTATAATAACACTTAATCTTAATACTGTATTTAACCGCCAGCATTTCAAGTTTTGTAACCTAGATAGAAAAGTAAATGATAAAAGGCGAAATCTATCTTTGAAAGTATAAAACGAGTTTCACTTACATTTTGAAACGCTCGATGTGTTGAAAGCATTTTATGAATTTCCTTTAACTTAGCTTTATCTGGTAATTGAATACCTAGATCTTTCCATGTCCATGTCCTTTCGAAAAAACGGTGTATTCTCTTTGAAAAACCACCGTTTTGGGCTAACTTTACCACTTCTAAATGTTGATTCATCATGACCTAGTAAAGATAAACACAAAAAATAGCATAATAGAAATTATATTTAAAAAGTTTCGATTACTGCGCTTACATATAAGTATTCTATAAGGATTTTGGGCTGGAATATTCCACATGGGTGCGTCACCATTACTAATTGTGTAATAAAAATCTTTATGTGGTAGAAAATAACGAATAAATTCATTACGATGTTCCACTACATCATCCCTTTCGTGTCCTTCAAAATAGGGACGTGGTGAATTTGCTTCAAACTTAGCTCCCCATCTACGAAGATCCACACGACAACTTCTTTCAGATCTTATAAAATCATCGACAATTTGTTTTTGAATTCCCGTTAATTCATAGTATTTTCCATCAATAAACTGAGCCAAATCCAAGGCCTTGAATTCTCCTGACTTTTCCTTTTACTTGCTTCAGGCATACCAAACTAACTTAGTTCAATTGCAAATGAAATTATCTTAAAGAAACACACATGTTATCAAAACTTTCGCTTATAAAAGGTTTTCCAGAGCCCCTCTGAAGACCTCATACAGACCTCGAAACTATGTCCATTGGATTCGTTATCAGTTTTTACCTACATGAACAAATTCTCACTTGATCTGGATAAAAAGCAAACATTCTACGTAAAAATGACCTCCCCCTTTTTCGTATCATACAGTAAAAACGATTTTTCTCAACATAGGAAAGGAAAGGAAAAAAAGGATACGTAGTTTGATGACGGATGGTATGATGAATGGAATGAGATAAAATAATTGACTCCATCGCTCACACATAAAAAGTAGATAGGTTTACAAAATCGACCTATACGCATCATAGTCGACACAATTCGAAGCGCCACCACCAATAGAGTTTTGGGTCTAGAGTCAATTTACCAGCTTATCTATAATCAGTTTTTGATGCTGAATCTGAAAAAATTATTTTCAGAAGCTCAAAAAAGACCGAGCTAGAAAATGTTGCAAATTTTTGAAAAGCATGTGTTTTTGAAGAAAACGACACATTTAGAGTATATCGTATTTTTCGACCGGAAGCGTCACATATCGATGACTAACAAGGGAACCTTTCGAGATGATTAAAAGCTTTTTGATCGACATCTAGTGGGTTATAGGTTGTCGACCATGCTGATTCCGAATATGATCATGAGACTGGCCCATAGCTCTTCGAAGATCCAGTCTTCTGGAAAAGTTATAGAATAGAATTAATGTAGAATTATCTAAAGAAAGGTTATGTAGAGCTGGGG